TTCTATGCCGAGCACCACGAGGCGGCGGCGGCCGGAGTTGCAGAGTTCTGGGTAAGTACGCTCCTTTGCCCGGCGGGCGTGGCGCAAAGCAGCCCCGGCGGTACGCCTGCCCTCACGCCGAGGCTCGCCGGCTGCAGTCAAGGGCGACACGAGGGTGGTGTCGACCGCAACCTGGACCCCTCCCCAGAGTGGCAAGCCGTTTCAATGACCTCGATTCTTTCAGTGGAGTTGGCGGTTCCTTCAGGACTTCTGGTCCTTCTGTGGCCATTCCGATGTGCCTGGGATTGTTGGGGTTTGTTCTCGGCACTTGCTTGTACTTCCTTGATGCTGACTCTTGTGCGGTCGCGCAGTGCCAGTGTGACCCAGCGCGATGCGTGTGTGGCCGCCTGTGTCACCCGGTGGTCTGGGCTTCCCTCCATAGCTGCCACACGCTCCTTTGCTGCCAGCTTGCTGTCCTTTCCCATCTCCAACACCGCCAACCAACCTTGATGGCGAGGCCCCTCTCCTGAGTGACGTCCTCGCTGACTTGGCTGAAACAGGACGAGCTTGCTTGCGTGCTCGGGATGGTTAGGGGTTTGGTTGTGGGTTTGGTTGCGCTGGGATGCTTGCAAAAGGGTCCGCGCAACAAAAAATAGGGCTCGTTGGCTTTGTGGCCAATTGGGGGACGGGCATTCGTGACCAAACGAAATTGGTCAGCCGAGGACGCCGAAGCCACTGGCGCAGCGAAGCAAAGCAGAGCGCGCACGAGCACCAGGACTTGCCTCGGCGTAGTGCATGACTCCCAAGATAGCTGTTAAATTCTTTGTCTAATTTTGTATTTGCATCTCTTCTAGGATTCTTTGATCCATTCTGTTTGGTAAACAACGCTACGTTTTTCGAAAAAGAAGTTCTGTACGCGGTCCCAGTGCACAAACTTCGGCGTGAAGTCCAGCCGAAAAAAGTCCACAAAGTCCAGGACCCCTCAGCCACACGGTCGTAGGCGGCTGGGGAAAGAAGGAGGGGAAGTGCCTCGTGAGCAACACCGAGAATGTCACTCAACTCCAATGGGTCCCCATCAAAGTTGGCAGCGTGCGCGAGGGGAGGGAAGGGAGACTCGCTGCGAGTCGGCACATCCGAGCCCCAAGCCTTTCATGCTCAATGGGTTTGGCACGGCGGTAGCCGAGGTCTGGACGTGGCATGTCGCCATCACCGCCCGCCAGCAACGTTGCCAAGCAACGCCGGATGGCGGCATCGTGTTTGGCAGCGAAATCGTCGGCCGGCGGCAGGGTTCGCAGCATTCATGTGTTACGGGGTGATGCGCAACATATAAAAGCTGTAGCCATGCGGATTGCAGTTCGGGTACCCGCGCTTGCTGAGCAGCCGGGAGGGCCGGGAGGCCCAGTTCCCTGGGTTCTCTGGGTCCCGCGGGGGGCTCCTCAAGGAGTTCCGGGGTTTTTTCTCCCGGGCTGTTCCATGCACATGTTTTGCCGTCCAGGTTGGCATGTGGGCCAGGGCGCCCCGCACGACGGCGAACTGGCCCACTGTGGGTGAAGGCGGGCTCTGGCCTCGACTAGAACTTGGTGTCGAAATAAAAACGGCATTAATGGGTCGCCTAGCTCTCTTCTTTCGCCTCTGCTGCACGTCGTGCGCTACGCCTTCCTCGTCGTACCACACGTATGCGCTCGGCGAGCCGTAGAAGAGTGCTGCACAGGGGAGGGGGCCGGCCAGCCCTAGTCGGTCCACCAAAGCTGCCAGCAATCGCAAAGCAGTTGCCAGCAGCCAGCACCGGATTCTTGGCTGGCAGCGAGCAAAACTCCAGGCGATTTTCCGCCAAATCGTCAGCACATAACACACGCGTCACGTTGGGTCTTTCCACCTAGGGTATCCTGGGGGTCACACCGGGGCAAGCCCTGCACGCAGTCGGGGAGATGTTGTTGAACAACCGAACGCCCGCTGTTTCAGCCCATGGCTGCGAGAGAACACCATTTACCACAACCCTAGCAGAGGTGCATGTGAAGAGGTCATCCAATACCTTCCACATCGAGCCCGTGATGCCTGCTTCCGCAAGCTTAACTGAAACAGCATTCCTCCAGTCTACATCAATGGCCTCATGGACATCCAGAGGGTTCGTTTGAGTTGCCACAACAGTGTAGACTTGTTCTTCAGCGCCCCAGCGAAAGCCCGCCCGAGTTTCATCAATTTGCGGTGCAACGTGAGGCAAAAACCGCCTTAACTGATATCCATCGAAAATCTTCAGACCGGAGCAAAACAGGCTGATGGGCCCGTAGTTCGTGATCTCCTGCACTGAGCCGGACTTGTGTAACGGCTTGATGACGGCAGTCCGCCATACAGATGGGACGATCGCCCAGGAGCGAACAAGCACAAACAAGCACAACAAAGCCGCACGAATGATATCATCGTCAACACGAGAAACTTATATGTCAGACCATTCGGGCCAAGTGCGCCATTCGCAGGCGACTCCTGCAAAACTTGCAACAGTTCAGGCTCAGAGAATGCAAAATCGAATTGCCCGGTGCTGCGGGACACGGCTTCCCGCAAGTTACGCAAACGCTGCAAAAGATCGGGAATGTCATTCTTGCAGGGCGACAGAAACGGGGCAACAGAGGCAGGGACATTGGGAAAGTGACAGCGCCAAGCATCCACGCATGCATTCCCCTCCAGACAGTCTCCTTCGGGCTACGCATTACGCATGCAACGCAAAAGGGAATGCTTGGTGATGCCCAGCTGCCTAAGAATATTCCTTGCGGCAACGGCAGGGTGCGACACAGCCATGCGCTCGTGGGCCTGCACAACTGGCCGCCAGTCACGGGCTACCGGCCAACACGGCGCAACACCCTGAATTGCCGAAGGCGTCACTGCGATCTGAAAGGTGGGTCGCTACTGAGCACCATGCAACAACTGCCGTCGTGGCAGGCGCGACCACGCAATACAGGTTGGTGCGACTGCCTGGGCCCCGCGGAGTGGCAGTTGAAGCTCGGCGAGCCGTGTGCTCAACGTCGGCCACGCTCGCCAGGCCTGTCGTGCGCGGAGTCAAGTTACCCGCCCCCCGCGTGTAGCAAAGGGATGTAAAGCCAAGAATTACGCTCGCCGGGCATCAAGCTCGGCGTGAGAGCATCTTGTCAAGGGAATGGCGCGAGATTGACGGGTGCGTATGGTGTCGAACAAGCGACGTCGGCCATGCGCTGTGTGGCGGCATAAGGCCAAGCGTCGCTTCGTCCAGTGCCACGAGTTCTCTGGGAAGCGAACGGGTGCTGCCGTTCTCCGTCTGCATCGCAAGTCGCGCAACGATGGCGAAGGAATAAATTCCGGACGTCTGTGATTGCAACTCCCGCCTTTCATACCAGCACTGAGCATAGCGGCTTCAACTGACGCGAAAGTTGGCTCCAATGTCGTGTTTGTCCACCGCTTCAACCCCTCGTGGTAAATGCAAGCAACGTCGAATTCATTTAAATGTGGCGCCCCTTGAAATTCAAATGTGCCGTGGCTTGCGCAAAGGACGTCTACAAACCGGGATCCGCAACCGTCTGTGGTCAATGCCGACTGGGATGCAATAATCATTCCAAGTTCATTCAACTTCGACGACCACGGGAGCAAGCAAGAAATCAAGCTGAGTTTGAACTTCCTCACAAAGGAGTCAGACGAGAACGCCCGCAACAAACGGCCCCGGCTCCATGATTTGATGCATACGACGAAGCGGTTGCTCTGGCAGACTTGGCTTGACACTCAGTGCTGCTTGTCAGTTGGAAAACCCCGTCTTGCGGCTCAGGCCATTCGTCGCGAATTGGGCAGGCAGGTGACCCAAAAACAAATGGAGCACATTTATGACCATCCAGCTCTGTGTCCAAATGCGTGGAAGCGGTTCTGCAAGGCATGTGTGTCAGTGCCATCTCTCTGCTTCAATCGAGAATGCCAACTGCGCCTAGGGTTCGGTTCGTTTGTGCATGCGTCTCGTTCACGCCCATCTGCGGTTAAAGGGCGGACAATGGCGACATGGGTCACTATCCTTTTACTGTGGGGGGTTGTGCTCCACATGGTGCTAGTGTTGCTTATGCAGGGCTGACAAACAAACCTTCCTACATGTTTCACGATATTACCCCTATGCGAAGATCGGAAGCAAACCTGGGCGGGCAGTATCCCGGAATCCCGTCTGTTGAGTGACAATTTGTACATTCCTTGCCGGATGAACAATATCTTCAACTCGTGTGAGTCTGCGGTGCACACCTGCTGCGATTTTTCCGCACATCCCTTTCGTGTCCAATGCATGTCAGGATCAACGCTTTATAGCCTCGGGCCTGGCGCTTCATGCTCCTTGTACTGCAATGAGTTGTTTATATGTTCACCTGCACATACTGCCTGTGAACACGGTTGTTGCAGGACTCGTGATTGCTTGCTGGGGCTTACAGTTGCGCGTTTTTCTTCTCCCTTCGTTTTGCTGCACCTTGTTGCGTCCGCGGGAAGAGTCCCAGCGGCGTCAGCTACCGAGTCTCCAACGGAGTGCTGGCGAGGCCGAGGTCGGCTGGCGCACTCGCGAGGTCCTGCACATCACCCAACGGACCCAATTGTTGTTTGTCTGTGCTGCTTCTGCGTTTGAATGTCTGTAAGTTGTTTGTGCGTCTTGCGATATAAAATTGGAGTTAAGGAGAATCGCAAGAGAGCAGCTCAGACCTCACGCTGGTGCCACAAGGAGGCCTCTCTCCCCACGGAACCATGCAAACAAATGCCCCTAGCATGCGGAGCTTCCTGCCGTAAGATCAGGTTTGCGCTGCGGCCCAGATTTCGCGGTTTTCCCCGCCCATCGTGAATTCGTTGCAAGTAGCGTTGGCTCTGCTGTGCTTGCAAAGCCCGCCCAACCGCCGTGCTCTAGCAATCCGCACCTGCAAGGCGACTTCTCCGCGGCGTGCATCAACAGATTGACGTGTGCAGGAGGCTGCCCAGCATGCTTGCTTCTTGCCAGTCCTTGTAAGTCTGCAACATCGGTTTTCATCTGCGCGCGACAAAAGCTAATTTTGCCCGTTTGCATCAACACACTCCGGACTGCAACTTAAGGGATGCTTCGACTTTGCATTCCGTCCAATTCTGTCGCCGTCTCTGTGCTGTTTAGCTATGGGAAAAGAGGGACCTTTAGCGAGGTTGCAAACAGCCTCGCACATCTGGTTTCCTTATATAGGGCCTATAATATAGGGTTTCAAGACCGCAAACAGCGCACGCGTGAGAGGGCTTCATACAAGCATTGCCATACTTGCGAATGTGTCGCTGCAGGAGCTCGGGAGCAATGTAACAGGAGGCTTCTGCCACTTACGCTTCAGGAGCTTAACCTCACCGGCGTGGAGCAAGCCGGCGTGGGCTCTGAGGTCACGGGGCTGTAGAATACCATGGACCTGCTTCAGGTGCTCGACGCGAGCATACCATGTGTCGCGCTGAAGATGTTCTTAATTCTTTTTGGAATTGGCACATCCGGGCATGGGGCCTCCTTTTCCCAAGCCCGAAAACTGCGCCATCTTTTTCACCACACCCTTCCTGACACATTAGGCTGTCCGGCTGTGTGAGCCTGCTCCAAAGTAATCCAGTGCAACCAACGACAACGACAGCGGTGGCGCCAGCGATGTGGGCCTCCCCACATGGTCGTCGAAGGTGTGGCAACTTGACAAGAGGTCTCCGTGTCCGATGTGACATTTCGGGATTCCAGTTGGACGGTGTCGATGTGTCTCGCATCGGTGACGGGGGCCCACCGCGAAAGAAGGATATGCAGTCTCATGGATGTGCAGTCTCATGGGTCGGCCAACATGTATGCAGAGCTTTGGCAGGCCTGCGAGAGCAGCATCGCAGATTCGAGCACGCAATTGGCTCGCCGGTGATCCAACAGGAGGGGGCTGGAACCCCGGCACGGGGCCGGGGATTGCTACCAACTACGTGGTTGCCTTCCCGTTCTCGGCTCATCCCGATACTTCTCGAACTTGACTCGCAGGAGAGGAGTGCAGCCAACTGCCGGACGTCAACGCTTGGGAAGCACTGTACAAAGAAATACCTGATGTTCGTTTCGTGGCGACAGCACTGAAAGCATGCAGGACGGGTCAACAGCATGCACGGCCGGGTGATAGGCAAAGTGTGCGCTAGCACGGACCCCAGTTGCCACCGACTTCGATGCCAAACGTGACGAGTCGACGATGAAGTCAGGGGAGTGGGCTAAACTTTAGACACTGACTGCAAAATCGTCTGTTCGCCCACACGTTGGTCACCCAGCTCGTACAGCGTTTCAAGAAGCACACCCTGAGTCTTTTGCTTTAACCGAATCTACGTCTGTCTGCATTCGAAGGACAGGGTGGGCCCTGGCACATGCACAAGTTGGTAGTACTCTAGAATCACTAGACGCTCCATCTATCAGTTTAACAGGAGTCCTAAAAGTTGCGAGTTGTCCCGTGCGCAGCGCGACAAAGACCGGCATGAATTCACAAACGAAAGCTGGGCTGCTTGCATCAGATAAGCATGACACGTATCTGACAGACAAGATATTGCTGCTTAGCAGCCATAAGATTGGAGCGGCTCTGTGGTGAAAGAGTTGCCTTTCATTCGCGATTCTATGACATCTGCCAAGGGCGACACAGGGCTGGGAAAACATGCAGCACGAGTCGCAATGAAGGCATGCCTGACAAGATTCGGTCAGTGAAGCAGGAGCGAAAGTGAGGCGGAAGCAGCTCCCTTCTAGGCCCAGGCACCTTTCCGCTTGTGGTAGGCCTTGCAGGAGACGATGCGTGCCTCAAAAGGCCGCGTTGCATGTCTGACTACACTACATCAACCTGCCAAAGGTGAATGCTGCGACCATGCCTGCAGCATCTGGCATACTTTGCAACATCTGCTCATGGAGGCCAAATGGGCTGCAACGAACGTGCAAACACCTGGTTGTTCGCTGAATCCAACTTGCCTGGCAAGTACATACAAATATCCTCATAGGTGCATAAACACATTATGCACACATACATATATCTATGCAGATGTGCAAGATGCAACTGTATGCATGCATGTGTATACACACAAACATACGTCTTTGTCTAATTTATATACACACAAGTCTTCACATATTCAAGAATGTACAGAGATTCAAACCCATCTGTGCAATTTTGCGAATTTCATGCACGATTGCCCTTCTCGGTTCTGCGTTTCCTACCGTCGCTCTCTTGCATACCAGCCAGACGGTTCAGACAACAAGTCGTTGCCAAAGTGTGTGGTTTCGATGTCTGGTTTATGCGCGAAATCCTGTTTTGGAATTCCCAAGCAGGCCAGCTGCCATCGCTCATCTCACATGCACCAATGCCAGCATTTAAGCAGACGTTGTCAGACATCAAAACTGCAGAGGACATGTCAAGCAGCAAAGCCAGGCTCGCTTCCCATACTCCATGAGATTTGCATGCAATGATTGTGGCTTTGAAGCTGATCAAATCTGGCAAAACTTTGAATTTCGGCATCTGGGCCAACACCCCAAGGGCCCTCGGCCACTGTCCGCTCTTCTCACATGCACTGATGCTTGCATTGAAAGTGATCTCATTCGGGAAAGTTCGGCTACATGCCATGCTGTTCAGAAGGTACAGTGCATGCTGCCACTGCCCCGCCTTCTCGCAAGCACTAATGGCAGCACTGACACTTACTTCGTTGGGTACGCAGCCACTGTGCATCAAATCTGTGAACAATTGTAGGGCCCGCTGCCACTGCCCACCTTTCTCACATGCACTAATTCCCGCACTCAAACTGATCACATCGGGCACGATGCTGGCCACAGGCATCTGAGACAACAGATGCAGTGCCATCTGCCACTGGCCGCCCTTCTCGCATGAACTTATACTTGCATTGAAGCTGATAGAATTAGGTGGAAGTTCAAAAGTCGGCATCTCAAAAAACAACTTCAGAGCTCTCTGCCATTGTGCGGCCTTCTCGCAAGCGCTGATGCTTGAATTAAAAATAATCTGACTTGGCAATGTGCGTACTTCAACCATGCATGACAACAAAGACAATGCCACACACCACTGTCCACTCTTCTCGCATGCACTGATGACAGCACTAATGGTGATCTGATTCGGCTCCATATCTGCTGCGACCAGCTTTGAGAACAAATGCAAAGCCAGTTCCCATTGTCCTCCCTTCGCACATGTGCTGATCGTAGCATTGAAACTGATCATGTCCTGCTTGATCCTTCGGCATTCCATGTGGTGAAAGAACATTAATGCCATCTGCCACTGCCGTGCCGCTGCACAGGAACTAATGCCGGCGCTGATGCAAACTGTTTTTGGCATGACTGTATTCTCAGGCATGTCCGAAAGCACGCGTGCTGCCAGTCGCCACTGACCGGAGTCTGCACAGGCACTGATGGTGCCACTGGCAGCTGTCTCATCCATCCCGGCTCTTCTGTTCATGTGCAGCATGTGCACGGCCATCTGCCACTGATTCCCCGCATCGCTTGCACTGATGCAAATATTTCGAGCGATACGGTCCAGCATGCCTGTGCAAAGCTTGAAACGTGACTCGTGTATCACATGCAGAGCCATGTCCCACTGACTGCTTGTTACACAAGAGCTGCCACTCGAATTATGGCTCCTCTCATTGGGAATGATTCTCCTTTCACGCATTTCTTTCAATAAGTGCGGGGCTACTCGCCATTGCTTGCCGGCTTTGCCAGCGTTCATGGCACAATGATAAACGACTTGGTTTGCAGCAACCCTTCCCAGTGGCAAATGAAGGAAGAGGCGACATGTGATCTGCCATTGGTGTCCTTTGTTACAGGCCGCCATGAGAGAGCTGAAACAGAACGCATCGAGATGCGGCTGTTTCGCCCAGCTGCTCGAGTAAAGTTGAAGCGCTGTTTGCCACTTGTGCTGCTGCCCACAATTCGTGATAACGTCACACACAACGTCCGACTCGCCAGCTAAGCCAGTGTGCTTCAGCAAGACAAGCAGGACTTTCCATGCGCCTTTTTTAGTTGCTGCCGGGATTATATACGATGGCATCGCTCGGCAACTTGCTGCCAGCAGCGAGGCCCGACCATCAACAGAATATCCTGACATGGGATTTGCTCGGTGCACGGAAGAACCAACTGGCAGAATTTACGTTCAACCAATAGGATGTATATCATGTCTTGATTCCTCATGAAACTTCTCGCAACCAGTCTTGATCATCTGGACAAGCTTGTCTGCTCACAACAATGAGTCTGCATGCTTGGCACACGGCATGCTACAGTCAATCACGCCTTGATACCAAGCACGGAGAATCACCAGGATATTCGATTATGCTGTGATGCGCGAGTTCCGCGCGAGTTCCGGAAGTGACGACCACATCTAGAACTCAACACGTGTCTTGGGTTGCCAGGGTATCCCCCGCGACATCCTTGCCAAGCTCATGCAGTCAGCTGACATGAACAGGGCCTGCCAGGCACTATTCGATAGACAAGTCCGGAATCCTTGAAGAATCCGCTTCTCACCGAAGCATGTTGAACTCAATGGCACACGGTGGCGAAGTTCATGTAAAGATCTAACATGCAACCATCCGAAGGTTTACAGGAAGCCTGCACCGAAACAGAAGAGCAGCAAGTGCTGTCCTCTACAACTGAGGAAACGTCTGGGCCACGAAACAGCTGCAAGCCCACGCTAAGGTTCGTCTTTCAGTTCAGCTCGATGCGACATACGATGCCTGGGCTGCGTGTTGAGAACTCGTGCACATCCGTGGATGTTGCAAGCGAAAAAGCAATGGCAAAGATCAACATGAGTGGACGAAGTATTGAATTGAGATACCGCACGAAGTACACAAATTTTGACTGGCAGCAAACAAAAAATGCAATGACAGCCAACTTACACGTAACTACTTGCAACTGAAGCTATCAGTAACTATTAGTTGTGTTGTCCCTGGGAATGAGCATCCTCGCTGGCCGATGCAGCAAAGAACAACAAACCAAAGCATGTGCCCACGCCAGCATAATGCATAGCAAAACAGACCCAACACGAGCCCCGTGAAACAATCTTGATACGATCCACCCCTCAGCATTGAAGTTTAGAACAAAGCAGCCCCTATGACTTACCCACTCCCCTTTCAAATCCCTGACCGGGCAACCCGGACCGCCCTGGAGGTCATCACCACCGCCCTTTTGCTTCCACCACGTGTGTCGGAATAACACATGCCTAGCACACCCATTTCGCAAATCCCGATAGGTTTTCCCACAGCTTGACAACCCTCACAAATCCGCAGGGACAGTCCATGCAGTAGGTTAGCTATGACCATCTCGCATTTGTTGTTTTCTCTCCCCTCTTCTTTCATTGCACCGGCTGAGAAGAAAAATGCGACACTTGTCTCCCTCTCTCCATCTTTCTGCAGCCTAAACAGAGCCGGCGCGAGCACCACGTGTCATCTTGTGGCACAGCAGCAGACGCAGGGCCGACTGAAAAAAATGAGTTGCGGAGACAACCTCGCAGTGAAACACTAAATTAATGAAACTCTCGCTTACATCGTGCTTTGAAGCATTAGACAAGACTTAGACAAAAAGCTTATCTTGATTCGTTTCACAATCGTTTTCTGCCTTTTTGGAGATCGGTGGTCGGTCCAAGGCGGATTGGCGAAAAATGTTCCGGATTTCACACCTTCAACTTTGTCCTAATAATCTTGCATACATCAGCGAAATACGCTGGATCTCAAAACAATGAGAACAGGTACGGGCTTACTGATGTTTCGCAGCCAATTGTTGGCATTCGGTGTTTGCTACTATGTGAAGCTCGGGGCTCAGCTGTGCTGTTTGTTTGCGAATTTACTTCCAACATAACTTCGTAGCATATATGATGCGACGAGTGGAGTGAGAAAATCCGAAATAATAACATAACATGTATTGCCCACGCACCATCGTCAGATGGAAACGGAAATGATACCTGAAAGCTGGAAATTACAGCTGAGCTGCGCAAACATATCACACGACCCCAACACATTCGAACACTTGGCATTTCAAGTTTCAACATTTGAATGATACTTTGCGAGTTGGAAGACAATGGCAATTTGTCACAAAACAAAAAGATGCTGTTGAAAGAACTTGCGATTTCCCGTAAGAGACGAAACGACCAGTTAAAAATGACAGGGCCAAAAACCTTCGTTTGATTTCATGGAACAACCGCATGAATCTTTGCCGCACCACCATGTTCAATTTCCACAATCTTTGAAGCAGCTTGTTACACCGAAGAATCTGTCCAGCGATTCGGTATCACAATTTGGTTAGCCCATTAAATGCCTTTTCAGTTTCAAGCCCAAATGTCGCGTGGAGGCCTGGCTTCCGCGAAACGAGTTTTTGCAGATTCATTTCCCCAAGGACAATTTCGAAAACATGGGTTCGGATGACCCCATATTGTCAGGCCGAAAACTGATCCAAAAGAGGTTGTTATGATCGGTTTCCTGCTGCAAAGCGATGCCGTTCTGAGCGATGCGGCTGACAAGCTGTAGATCTTTCGAGTTGTCTCATGACGGCTTTTAGAGTTTGTTCCCACCCCTCTCCCTGGCTGGCGGCACATTGATAGCCGCTGCCCCTCCCCCTTAACCCAAACTCTCAACCCACCTTACCCCACCCCGCAACCCTAAAGCCTTAAACCCCCCGTTCCAAACCCTAAAACTGTCTTAAAATCTTAAACCTTAAAAAAACCTCCACCTAAAATGCGTGAGGGTTTGGTATTGATGATATGTTGTAGATGCTCACCTCACCGAGCGTGTTGTTGATATAGTTGTGGTATTGCCAATGCAGAACTCACACGCGCAATTGTACACAATGTAGAGCGGCGCACCCTTCCTTTTCTCACTCGCCTTGGCTGACGTTGAGTCTTTGCAG